TTTTTTTTTTTTTTTTTTTTTACTATTTTTTTGGAAATGATATCTAAGGACCAATGGTTTTGTTTAGAATATTAGCTTTTGAACATAACTGAAGGCCTGATCTTCTGAAAGTCATTGACAACCTCTTAATTAAAGTCTAGGAAGAAAATCTTCCATTTTTATGTGTCCATCCCAAGTTTATGATGGATAATGGTATCAAATTATCTGCCTTGTATATTCTCTCTTTGTAATTTTCATATATAATGAAACCCTATATTTTATTTATTGATTGTTATTGAATCAACTTGTTTCCACTGCCTTAGGGATATGATTGCAGTTTAATAACGTCTATGTTGATTTGAGAACATGTACCTCGATGTGCTTGTTTGTTTTATGATGTCGTATTCAAAGCAAATCGATCAAATGATTATCTAAAATTATGTAAAAAGTAAAAGATTTGAACGTTTGTAAGGTTGTTTAATGAGAATTCCTATTGCTTATGAACACGCAAGAAATAGAAGAAACTTCACCTTCATCAAACATAGCTTGACTCCTCACGAGGTACGACTGCTCAATTGTACTATCAACCATAGTATAAAAAACACGAGTCTAGAGACAAAGAAGAACATAGGCACGAGACAAAAGGGTTAAAGTACATGAATTTTGATAGAGAACCTACCCCTAACGAGTTGAAGAAAGGTTGTAATTATGCCAAGGCTTTTGGAAAAATTGGTCACTATAAACATAATTAGAACATGTGTTGATTTTTCTAAGTACTTACAAATATTAGAAGTTATTTCAAACCACCGTTTATAAATAAGATTTTAAATATTTAAAATAAAAAAAGAAAATACGTATGCTAAGTATGGAGATCGAAGAAACGCGAAAATGTGTTTAATATAATATATTTATATAGCATAAATATAATTATCTAATTAATATTAAGTTGATTATAAACTCTTATTAATCAATTTATTAATATGTTTTATTATAAAAATTTGTATAATTATTATTTTATAATATCCTATAATTTTAATATAACATATTATGCATATTTAATTTAAATTTTAAAATATTGTTAAGTAGGAGAAATAGAAATAGAATTAGAATCGAAGATGTATATTCTCATTGATATTCATAATACTTAAACGGGATATTGTTGGATCGGTATGGCAACCCTAGAGGGGGGGTGAATAGGGTTTTAACGATAAAAGTGTTTAAACTTGATTAATTTTTCTAATGATAAAACTTTTTACAAATAAGTAGAAGATGATAATTACTAAAACAAAATAATTCAAGTCAAAACAATAATCAAGTAGAACATGCAATAAACATAATAATAATCTTGAAATTAAATAGGAAAGAGTTAGAGAAAATGACACCGTAGTTTTATAGTGGTTCGGTCAAACTCGACCTACTCCACTCCCCAAGCGCCTCTTGGGAATTTGAATAAAGAACTTTTCCGACTCTTTCCACGGATCAGAGCCAAACCGGTACACCGCTCTTTTTACGAGTTCAAGAGCAAACTCAATCCTTTCAACGACGCAGGATCAAACCGATACAAGTATTTGAGTTTGATAATAACACACCACAACTCTCTCAAAGAGTAGATTTACAATTTGGGATACTGACAACTATTTCCTCACAATATAATAATAATCCCTCTCAAGAATAAGATGAAAAGAAATAAACTTGTAAGCTTGGAGAGAGCAATAAACAATGGAGACTTTGAACAAATGAGGATTGAAGAATGTATGTAAGTTGTATCTTTTAAAAATGTGGGGAAGATGAGTTTATATAGAGGAGAAAAGTGGCAAAATGTAGGATTGAATATTGACCATTGGATTGTGTTAGGAATAATGGAAGGTGGAGATTAAAAGTAATTAAGTAAGAAAATTTTCTAAATTCATTTATTTCAAAATTTTAATATAATAGTAATATAATATAATAATAATAAAAAGTTATGTGAGTAACGGTAAAATGTAATTCAAAATTTATTATAAATATAATAATATAATAATAATAAAAATGATGTGAGTAACTACCAAAATTTTAAAATATAATAATATAATAATATAATATAGTAATAATAAAATTCGATGTGAGTAACGGTTATATTCAAATTTATATTTGTAAAAATAATTTTATTTAGAAATGTAATAATAAGAAAAACTCCACCATGTGTTACTCTTCCAATATTATAAATGTCATACTTTGATATATTTTGATTTGTCCATCATTTTGATTTTGTTGCCACATCATCACGTCGGGTATGTTGTCTCGACTCTAATTTCTTCGTTTTAGCTCTGATTTGAGTAATTGAAAAGTTGTTGTAATCGTTATTCCCGACCTTATACTGTGGACAGTTCAAAAAACTGAAAATAGTTAATAATTAAAAGTAGGTTTGTTATCATCAAAACATCAATAATTAATTCATTGAAATTAATTAATGTGAGATCAAGGGCCAATAAGCCAACAATCTCCCCCTTTTTGATGATGACAAATCATTTAAAGAAAAATTCATAAAAACCAATAATACAACATCCATGTAATAATATCACTACATACTAATATATTATCATAAATTTCACTCAAGAGCATATTCTCCCTTATATTAATGCCTCAAGAAATTATGAAACACCAAGTAAATGATTCATAAATTATAAAATAACAAATTTAGAACATATTTTTCTTAATTTTCTCCCCCTTTGTAATCATCAAAATGAACAATTGAAAGAGAATGCATTTAATAATGACATAATGGCTCCCCCTAAAAACATGCATTCAAAAATTATAAAATTCAAGATATATCACAACGAATAATACCAAGCTCAAGCCTATTTTTGCAAAAAATTTCTTCATTCAATGGCTTGGTGAAAATATCGGCCAGTTGATTATTAGAGTTTACAAAATCAAGAATAATATGTCCATTTTGCACATGCTCTCTAATAAAATGATGTCTAATGTCAATATGTTTAGTTCTCGAATGATGAATAGGATTTTTAGTTAAATTAATAGCACTTGTATTATCACAAAATATAGGCACACTATGAAACTTTAATCCAAAATCACAAAGAGTTTGTTTCATCCAAAGAATTTGAGCACAGCAACTAGCAACCGCAATATATTCCGCTTCGGTAGTAGATAAGGCAACCGAATTTTGCTTTTTACTAAACCAAGAAACTAAGGAACTACCAAGAAATTGACAAGTTCCACTAGTACTTTTACGATCAAGTAAGCTTCCGGCAAAATCTGCATCAGAATATCCTACCAATTTAAAT